TGTTCCAAACTTGTATGGGTTTCTTTCTTCTGTAAACACATAAGAAGATATTCTGTTGGTAACCAAACAGTTGATGGTAGCCATTGACTTCCATAGTAATTTTTTCAATACTATGGAAGTCAATGGCTGCAGTTACATCTACAATGTTTCAGTGCTTTTCCTGCAGTTCCTAGATCTGCAAGGTTGAATTTCTTGACCACTAAAAGTGAATTTGCAATATAATGATACATGAAATATAATGAATAGATATAGAACTAAACTTTTAAAGGTAAATGTTCTTGGTTTTATTCATTTAAATATACAACAAACTTAATATTTGTAAACATGGAATGTGTAAGACCAATGTACCCTCTAATTTTTTTCTTGATGTGCAAAACTTTTCTCTATTGTGCGGATATTTCGGCCACCTGAGCAAAAACATTCTTTATACCAGACCTGTACAGCGTGCACACACAAAAAAAGTGCATAAATTTTAACTTTAATGTGCTATTTATATTTGATTTGACCTTTGATGTAACTAAATGATGCACATTTTAGGTTACCTGAGAAAACATTTTACAATGCTGTTACCAAAAAATCCTATTAAAAATCTCAAGCAGAAGAGTTCAAATCTTTATTATAATATAATGTAATATGAAAAAACGAAGCAGATATTGCTCATATATTCCCTTTTTGAGGTTAGTTATCAACGTCCCTATAGTGTGTGACTGTAAATGTCTGGGGGTTTTGTTACCGTTCTGTGCCCATCATTCGCTATATTTCCACCACTTAATCAAGCCATTCTTCTTTAAAACATGACGTTTTATTTCACGTCATTGCGTTTGCATTGGCTCTTGTGTTGAGCTTTTTCGTCTGCAACCGTTAAAGTATTTGATTTGTACAGGGACTGATTCGGCGCACATCATTCTCTTTCTATGAAACCTGTAAACCGCGTTCTAACTTTATAGCGAGCGACACCAACTCTATAGTGGTTTGCCCGAGCATTGCAATTATTTTGCATTTACTAGAATCCACTCAAATGGCTTTCCCAACTCTGTGTGTGCGGCATATTATTTATTCTGCACGGTCGCGACTGATGGTGTGTTCACATTCGCATCTTCCGCACAAGTTCAAAAAATGTCAACGTGAGCGGAAAAGCTTATGACACATCTGGTTGAATCAGAAATCGGAAGAGAGCATTATTGTAGCCGTCTGTGGGCACCCTGAAATTTATGATATAGTTCTGGCGCATAGAAAACAATTAAAATCAGCTGTAGTGGTAGGCTAATTGTATTTTATTAGCATGGCTACAGAGATGCTGCTATCAATTAAAGAAAAATGTAATCGTATGTACAGTAGTAAAATGTAACGCATGTTAATGCAGGATCAATATTCATCCGTCTCTGGATGGTGCTTTGAAACGTTTTGAAACGCTTTGACACGTCGGCGTTTGGCTTTCCTGCGTATTTGGGACTTTCACAACAGGTACAAAGCAGCGATCACAGTTATCTCCACCATGGTTGATCGCGCAATGTTTTTATTCGCTCCAGTGACATTAAAAAAACATCCCACGAGTAATCTAGAGCTAGTGATGCGATGCGCATATTCGCTTCGCGTTTGGTGTGAACACACCATTAAGTATACTTCGTTTTTGTACGCTAGCGTATGCGCAGTCGAACATGTAGCCTTTCAAAGTATACACCATTTGAAGTTTTGAACGCGGGCGGTCAATACATGCGCTCTAGACAGCTTCATCCATGTTCAGTGTCTGCTCTATTTTTCCCCATTAAGTCATGACTGATAACAAATATTTTTTAACTCTTTTAAACCAAAGCTGAGCTGTCTCAAACCCTCTCGCTCACAAGCGCTTGTCAATGTGAGCATCTGTTGTTGCAGTCTCCGCTATTTTGTTGTCGTTGCTCGTCTCTTTAGTATCGTTTTATACTGTGAAACAATGCCCCTGGGACAGTGTTGCCACCATGTGGAAAAACTGATTACTGCAAAAGTATGCGCGGTTACAAAAATCGGGTGGTGCGAGTACTGTTCTGATGACGCAATTTGCGTCACGCGCTGTACGCTGTCCCTCGCGTACGCATAAAAAGTGAAGTATACTTTGGGCTTTAGAGGGAACATTGTAGTAACTCTGTAACACCCTTCAGTCTTACACAGAGTGTTATTTGATGTTCTTAATAGGGCTGTCAATAAAATTAGAATTTCGAATATTTGTTGAATTTAAAATAAAAATCCACATTCGAATGCAAAAACGTTGCATTCGAATTTTATGTGTGCGTCAGGTAGCCTTATCAGTGGACAAAAGATGCGATGATGATGTAAGTGTCGTTGCATTTTAATGTTTTGTTAGCCTATCCAGTTGAACCCACTGCTACATTGTTCGTTCAAAATATTGCGGAAAAAAAGAGAACATCAATGTTGTTGTTTACGGAGAAACTGAAACCAAGCCGTTCACACAGAACACATTTATCGCATTTTCTAGAGGGACATCTATCACTGTTGCACTCGCGTCTCGCACGAGCGAGCCGCATGTTTAAAAAGCCATGTAAAATTAATGCAAGTTCAACTGTTAAAAAACATATCTCGAGACTTTATGGCAGTTTCCCCATCCCACTGTAGTCATGTTTTTAAATGAAAAAAGTACTCTTAGTGATTGGTTTTCTTTCCTTTGTATTAAACTATAAATGCATGCATGGTGCTGTTTTATTTCTAATTAAGAAACTTAATTATATATGGTTTATAAACATTATTTTAAACATTATGCACTTTTTCAAAGATAGTCGTGTTATTTTATTATGCTTTGAAGAAACGTGCATTAGAAATATTTTGCTCAATGGGCCCTCTTGGAGAGAAGCCAAAAACTTTTCCCCCCCTAACTGAAATTAAATGTCAATATTCAAATTGAAAAGGTATAAATACAAAATTCTAATTTAGTTTTTCAGCTATTTTGACAGCCATAAGTTCTTAAAATGTTCTGAGCAATTTTTGAATATCAGGTTGTTTGTTTTAGGCGTTAAAGGTCATGATGATTTATGATGGTAACGTGTGGCTGATTGACTGATTTTGCAGATACTACAGCGACGGCAAGCACAGGAAGCTGGACGAGCACCGCTCCAGCAGAGAGCACCGCTCAGAAAGCAACTCCAAGGACAGGACTCACTCCGAACACCGCTTCCACTCTGAGCACCGCTCTGCCTCAGACTACACGCATCACAAATCGTCCCGGGACTACCGCTACCATTCAGACTGGCAGATGGAGCACCGGCCGCGCTCTCCGCTGGGACACCGCTCGCCCTTCGAGTACTCGTCAGACCACAGAAGCACACCTGAACAGGTCTGGAGCGGCCGCAAGACATAACACTCTCCTCTCCGCTCCGCTCGCTTCTGATTAGCCATAGACACACAACACACAGGAAATGCCTTAGGGGACTGTCGGCCGCTGCACTGGGGCTCTGGGAGTGCCACCCTTTCCTACTCACCTTCGAGAAACACAGATCACATATTTTTGTATTTAAGAATTAGCTGCATTCTTTTCGTAGGTGCTGCAGAGTAATTTTTTTTAATTATTCTTTTTATAAATTGACTACTTTCCTTTTTTTTGTGTTTTTTTTACTTGGAAACAGATGAATCCATGTTTCACTGTCACGTGCGACACTGGATCCGGACATACAGCCGTATATAAACGCCACGCAGCTTATTTAAGAAGTGTTGAGTGAAGGGATGCTACAAACGCGTGTCGTCTTTATCCGCTGAGGGGTTTCTGTTCTGAAGGACTGGGGCTCACCTTCCAAAGTACCTCGTTTACAGTGTTTTGTGACCATTTTGCCAATTTTTATCTGTCATTTTTCTTTCCATCATGCTTGAATTATTTAAATCTGTCTCGGCTGTAAAATAATCTGGACTATTTTTAGTGCGCATCAGATAATGTCACTTTTTCCACATTGTACTACTGTAAATTATTGTATAAAGTAAATCAAATGGGCTTTTCTCAGGCTGGTATTTTTTTAACTATTTCCCCATCGACTCAGGCTATTTCTTCTCTTCCTTGGTTTTTTTGACGTTTCTTTCTCAGTAGTTTTGAATCATGAAATGGGGTAAATATTCCACGTGTATTCGTTCTGTAGGATCGTTTGGTTTGTTGATCTCCTCTTTGGTTTCTCTCTATCTGTAAGTGAATTGGCCTCACTTTATAACAGCATCATGTCAAAAAATACAAGCTGTGTAACAAAAAAAAAAGGACATGAAAGGGTCGATCGTAGCTAGAGGCACTTATGAGCTCTTCTTAGAACATTTCCATGATCTTTCCTGTTTTCTATAAATGTTGGCAATAATGTCATATTTTCTATGCAGCCCGAGTAAGTCAGAATGCTGATGTACATAGACCTCCTTCTATATTTCAAATCCAAATTTACACTGAAAATGCATGAGTTTTTAAAGTAATTGTTTTATATAATTGTTTATAAAGTCATTAAACTCAAATCACTGTTTTCACCTGTAATCTGGCTTTAATGTAATTTAGTGTGCTCTTCATGCAATCATTTTCAAAGTAGATTTACGATTCGGAAGCATTTGACGCTGTTCGTCTCTGCCAATGAATGCAAACTTTTCAAAACGGGTTTGTTTTTGGGTAAACTGTGCAAACGGTTAGTTGTTGCTTATTTGAATATGATAGATTGTAATGCCAGGAAACTTTGAGTGGAAGCCAGCCAAACAGATGTCACGTTTGTCAGCAATGCATTGCATCATTTACCATTTAAACTATTCCGCTCTACTTTGAGCCTGCCGTTTGATGCATGTGAACTACAACTGAACGTTTCCATTCCTTCTCATGCTCCAAAAACTCTTTTTAGACTTCCATTGCATTTCTTGTGTGGTTACGGAAATGGGCAGAAGTGGAAACACTACTGCACAAGTGGAAAAACCCACAGCATGCGTTCGCTTGCTTAGTTTGCACCTGTAGTCCAATCAGCGGAGCACTGACTGTAACAGACTGAGGGACGTGATGAGCCTGTGTCTTCAATCGTTTAATAGTTGACGTCAAATTCATGATTCGTATGCTTACAGTTTCACTGATGTTATCAGAAGAGACATTTCTACAAACAAATCTTATCACACATAAATAGATCTTAGAATGCATATGTTAAATGACCTCAAGATGCAAGATAAACTATTTTATGACCAAGCCAAGGTTTATGCTGTCTATAGGAAAGATAAGGAAGTTTACTAAGACTGAAGCACTGCAGGGTGAGCGTCACTGGATATCTTGTAACATGATCCATGTCTTGCACGCTTAAACACAACTAGGGTAACTTGGCTGTCTGATGTAATCTAACACAGCTGCCACAGGTTCAAAGACAGGCAAAGGGAATAACAATAACCGGCCCACTTCCGGTTGTTTGAAAAATAAGCATAGCAAGGCAACATTTATTCAGGCGAGAGTCATCCTGGAGGAAGGACAGGACGCAGTTGAAACGGCTGTGGGTTTTAGTAGGTCTTTTTCTCCTCAAATATAATGTTGGCAGTGGCTTTCTTGGCTGCAAGACAAAACAAAAGACTGGATCATCAACCGTTCATAATTGCTTTTAAAGACCGCAAGGAAACTAATGACAAATGCTAGTCGCTGCTATAAACACACAGAGTTTGATCATATAACATGCTTCTCAAGTCATTGATGAAACATCATGTCAGTGAAGATCCCTAATATTCCAATGCATTTTCTTTTTATTGCTCCGATCAGAAACAAACAGCAAATGCATGAACTGCATCTGGTTTTCACCTTCATCTCTAAACTTGTCTGCCGTCTCTGATGCTTTATCCGTGATGTCTTTCATCACATTGTCGATCTTGGCTTCATTCTTTAAGAAGAAGGGCCGGATGATCCTTGTGTAGAGCAGAATGGAGCCGTTCGATGGAGTGGGAGCCATGCACCAAACCAAGAAAGCACACTAGCAAGAAAAAGCAAACATTACAGTCTACTCCGTATTACAAAACTCAAACACTAAGCATTCGTGACAATGTTTTACATTACAAAACTGTCCATTCACACAGTTGTTTCTTGAGCGGTTTAAAGTAAACAGTGTTTGGACTGCAACTCCTCAGCGCTCAATCCTAAGCTATCCTGTAGTGAGAATCAGGCTGAACTGTAATTCAGTGTGGTCACTCACGACTAGCCCACATTTCTGTATCGGAAGACGCCACCTTTAAATGGCTATAACTTTTGAAAGAATATTTTAACAAAATGTAGTATAACTATCCCATATATCTCAATCTAAAGAGGCACAACCAATTTCAACAGGTCAATAATGATCAAAAACATTGTAATCTTAAAAATGTAAAATAAAGACTTATTAATTACACCCGTGGACTGCTAATAGGAGAATAAGATTTGGCACACTTATTAGGGTACACACTTACTAGTCTGGGATCTCTAAACCACACGAACTCCTCCAACCAGTTCAAAAATTCTCTTTTCTTTTCGTTTTAAATTTCGAGCCCTTTGCTCTAGAAACAAAATGCTTTTTGTTCTCATTTCTATGTGTTTGTGGTGTTTATCAATAATTAAAGAATAGTTTTACTACTTATGATCTGCCGTGCCCCCATTCTTGTCATGCACCAATAAAAAAAGTGAACATATGGTTTGTATTTTTTATTAAATAATAAATAACTAGATTGAAAAGTTGGCTTGAAAAAGCCTAGCTACAAAGTTTGAAAAAGTTTAAAAACTTGCAGTCTGAAAGTTTTCAGTTTGAAAGATTAAAGTTTGAATGTTTTCAAGGCAACACAATCTATCGGAAAAAACAGATCGGTATAAAAACATTGTTAGGCTTATACTGTATAAATATATATACTGTGTGTGTATATATATATATATATAAGTATAAAATAAGGTATAAAACATTGCTAGGTTGCTAGGCTGTTGCTAGCATGATGTTAACATTTTGTTACCATGATTACCAAGTTACTAGCATGTTTCTACCATGATTAGCATGTTACTAGCATGTTAGCATGGCATTAACATTTTGTTAGCATGATTTGCATGATTAACATGTTGCTAGCATGTTGCTAGCATGATTAGCATGATGTTAACATGTTACAAGCATGATGTTAACATGTTACTAGCATGATTGTAACGTGATTCTAGCGTGATTAACATGTTACTAGCGTGATTAGCATGTTACTAGCATGATTAGCATGTTACTAGCATGTTGTTAACATGATTAGCAAGTTAATAGCATTTTGTTAGCATGATTCTAGCATTATTAGCATGCTACTAACATGATTCTAGCACGATTAACACGTTACTAGCATGATGTTCGCATATTTCTAACATGTTTAACAAACGTCTAGCATTTCGTTAACATTTTTAACAAGGTTAACATGTTACTAGCATGATGTTAACATGTTACTAGCATGATGTTAACATGTTACAAGCATGATGTTAACATGTTACAAGCATGATGTTAACGTGATTCTAGCGTGATTAACATGTTTCTAGCGTGATTAACATGTTACTAGCGTGATTAGCATGTTACTAGCATGATTAGCATGTTACTAGCATGGTGTTAACCTTTTTTTAGCATGATTAACAAGTTACTAGCACATTTCTAGCATCATTAGCATGTTTCTATGCTAATCTAGCTAAAACTAGTTGATTCAGTAAAAAAAACAGCTACAAACCGCTAAGACCAGACTGGCCTGCTAAAAAAGTGGCCAAAAACCACTTTAAAACCAGCCTGGGAGACCAGCCAAAGCAGTCAATCAGCTTAGGCTGGTTTTAGCTGTTTTTCAGTAGGGAGTTGTTCAGCTTTGCTATAGCAATAGACAGCTTACATACACCATTAGTCTTATTGTAGGGCTGCCACTAATGACTATTTATTTCGATTAATCTATCGACTAAATTATCGATTAATCTAAACGATTAATTTCCCCCCCCAAAAAATCTACAATTTTACTTAAGAATATTTTATTAAACTAGATTTCATTAAACCAAATGAAATCCAAAAGTGCAAGAAGCAAGTGTCCATCTCATAGTGCAAATCACTGAAATCAGAGTTCAGTGTTATAGAGTAAACCCCGTTCACACCAAGAACGATAACTATAAAGATCACGATATTAGCGTCCACACCAGCGGACGATATCGTCTGTTTATTCTAAGCACACGCTCCTCTGCTGCTTTAAATTCTCCAGCTCGTGATAGCAGGATTGATTCTGATTGGGTGTCAATGTTTTTATCGTTCATCAGCTGGAAAAAAATCATTCTGAAAGTGACTTCAACGATATGGTTTCTCTGTGCCTTTATCATTACAGCTGTGATGTGGACTCTGCTATTCTTTAATATTGAGAACGATTTTTAGAACGATATCTTTATCGTTATCGTGCTTGCGTGAACGGGCCTTAAGAATGACAACATGTCCACGTGTTCTAGTCTACTAATAATACAATTATAATCAAAAAACACTTTTTAAAGGAGTATTTACCAGAAATGTTATTTACCAGAATTTATTTAGGAGAAAAATTTAAATGTGCATTATTTCTGAAAATAAATAAATAATAATAATAATAATAATAATTAACTGGATATGCTTTTGATTATTAAAATTTAATGGAACCATTAAAATGGAATCCAGAAAATAATGGAAAACAGAATTTGGTAAAACTGTAAAACTCAATTAATTAGACCGGCTTTTTGATTAATAAAATTTAATTTAACCATTAAAACAGACTATAGAAAAATGAAAATGGAAAAAAATGAATTTGAAAATAAAACTGATTTCATAGTGCCCTATAATTATAATTATTTTTTTACAATTTAAGTGAACAATAGCCTTTAAAATTACTTAAAATACATATATAATAGCAATGAGGCAATAATTAGTTGAAATAAAGTGTCAAAAGCAAGAAATGATTGTTTTATTGAACAAAACGGTTAAAGTACATAATGTATTATAAACAATAGAGCTAATGTACAGTACGCATTACAAAGACCTGCAGGGGGCGCCAACGGCCTGATGATTGTTTTTACACATTACTGTGCGATCTAA